GACAGTGAACTCTGGGTTGTCTGTTACACCACTTCTGTGTTGGACAGACAGTGTACTCTGGGTTGTCTGTTACACTACTTCTGTGTTAGACAGTGTACTCTGAGTTGTCTGTTACACTACTTCTGTGTCAGACAGTGAACTCTGGGTTGGTTGTTACACATCTTCTGTGTCGGACAGTGAACTCTGGGTTGTCTGTTACACTACTTCTGTGTTGGACAGTGTACTCTGGGTTGTCTGTAACACTACTTCTGTGTCGGACAGTGAACTCTGGGTTGGTTGTTACACCACTTCTGTGTCGGACAGTGAACTCTGGGTTGTCTGTTACACTACTTCTGTGTCGGACAGTGTACTCTGGGTTGTCTGTTACACCACTTCTGTGTCGGACAGTGTACTCTGGGTTGTCTGTTACACTACTTCTACAGTGAACTCTGGGTTGTCTGTTACACCACTTCTGTGTTTGACAGTGTACTCTGGGTTGTCTGTTACACCACTTCTGTGTTTGACAGTGTACTCTGGGTTGTCTGTTACACCACTTCTGTGTCGGACAGTGAACTCTTTGTTGTCTGTTCCACCACTTTTGTGTTGGACAGTGTACTCTGGGTTGTATGTAACACTACTTCTGTGTCGGACAGTGAACTCTGGGTTGGTTGTTACACAACTGCTGTGTCGGACAGTGAACTCTGGGTTGTCTGTTACACTACTTCTGTGTCAGACAGTGTACTCTGGGTTGTCTGTTACACCACTTCTGTGTTTGACAGTGTACTCTGGGTTGTCTGTTACACCACTTCTGTGTTTGACAGTGTACTCTGGGTTGTCTGTTACACCACTTCTGTGTTGGACAGTGGACTCTGGGTTGTCTGTTACACTACTTCTGTGTCGGACAGTGAACTCTGGGTTGTCTGTTACACAACTTCTGTGTCGGACAGTGAACTCTGGGTTGTCTGTTACACCACTTCTGTGCTGGACAGTGTACTCTGGGTTGTCTGTTACACCACCTCTGTGTCGGACAGTGTACTCTGGGTTGTCTGTTACCCCACTTCTGTGTTGGACAGTGTACTCTGGGTTGTCTGTAACACTACTTCTGTGTCGGACAGTGAACTCTGGGTTGTCTGTTACACAACTTCTGTGTCGGACAGTGAACTCTGGGTTGTCTGTTACACTACTTCTGTGTTAGACAGTGTACTCTGGGTTGTCTGTTACACCACTTCTGTGTCGGACAGTGTACTCTGGGTTGTCTGTTACCCCACTTCTGTGTTGGACAGTGTACTCTGGGTTGGCTGTTACACTACTTCTGTGTCGGACAGTGTACTCTGGGTTGTCTGTTACACCACTTCTGTGTTGGACAGTGTACTCTGGGTTGTCTGTTTCAAATTGTATCTAGCACCTTTATGTAACATTTCTGTAATCAGATCTTCACTATGGTCACTTATACGAACAAGATACAATTTAAATGCAAAATCTGCAAGTTAAAATTAAAGAAAGCATTGCAAAAGCAATCTGAGATTTGGATCTTGGCCTTAAAAAAGCTATGTTGTGTATTTTAGAAAATGGGATTTTTCCGTTTTAGATTTTAATGAATGAAATTAACCTTGATACAAAATCTGATCATTTCTTTGAGACAATTATGGCACTTGCAAGTTGTATAAAAAAATAAACGAGCTGAAACATGCATGTTACAACAAAATCATACTGAGTTCAATTTATTTTTATTTTTTCAATAGTTCCAGCTCCTGATGAAGGCTTCCAATTTTGATAAAACGATCCACATAGCTAAGAGCATTGTGAGTTAGCTAACATTGTCCGAGTTTCTCTTAGTTGTGTAGAATGTACAATTTTGATGGTTTTGACCTTTTTGCTGTTTCAGCCAAAGAAAGAATGCAGACGACCTGAAGGAAAACCTATCCATTATAGTGATTCCTGTGTTCTGTACGGTCAGCTGTGGACTTGCAGAGGATAAGAAAAATAAACTCACTAAGGTAAATAACAGCTACATATTGAAAAATAAAACCAGCGTGAAGGAACTCTATTTTTTCCAGAATGAATACTGCTGCACACTCTGCTATTTCTGAAAAGAAAAAATGGTACAAAAATGTAGACATTTCACTCAAACTACAGTAAAATGTAGACCTATCACTCAAACTACAGTAAAATGTAGACCTATCACTCAAACTACAGTAAAATGTAGCCCTATCACTCAAAATACAGTAAAATGTAGACCTATCACTCAAACTATAGTAAAATGTAGCCCTATCACTCAAAATACAGTAAAATGTAGGCCTTTCACTCAAACTACAGGAAAATGTAGACCTATCACTCGAACTACAGTAAAATGTAGACGTTTCACTCAAACTACAGTAAAAGGTAGACCTATCACTCAAACTACATTAATATGTAGGCCTATCACTCTAACTACAGTAAAATGTAGTCCTTTCACTCAATCTACAGTAAGATGTAGACCTATCACTCAAGCTACAGTAAAATGTAGCCCTATCACTCAAACTACAGTAACATGTAGACCTATCACTCAATCTACCGTAAAATGTAGACCTATCACTCGAACTACAGTAAAATGTAGACCAATCACTCAAACTACAGTAAAATGCAGACCTATCACTCAAACTAACGTAAAATGTAGACCTATCACGCAAACTACAGTAAAATGTTAACCTATCACTCAAACTACAGTAAAATGTTGACCTATCACTCAAACTACTGTAAAATGTAGACCTATCACTCTAACTACAGTAAAATGTAGACCTTTCACTCAAACTACAGTAAGATGTAGACCTATCACTCAAACTACAGTAAAATGTAGACCAATCACTCAAACTACAGTAAAATGTAGACCCATCACTCAAACTACAGTAAAATGTAGACCTATCGCTCAAACTACAGTAAAATGTAGACCTATCACTCTAACTACAGTAAAATGTAGTCCTTTCACTCAAACTACAGTAAGATGTAGACCTATCACTCAAACTACAGTAAAATGTAGACCTATCGCTCAAACTACAGTAAAATGTAGACCTATCACTCAAACTACAGGAAAATGTAGACCTATCACTCAAACTACAGTAAAATTTTGACCTATCACTCTAACTGCAGTAAAATGTAGACCTATCACTCAAACTACAGTAACATGTAGACCTATCACTCAAACTACAGTAAAATGTTGACCTATCACTCAATCTACTGTAAAATGTAGACCTATCACTCTAACTACAGTAAAATGTAGTCCTTTCACTCAATCTACAGTAAGATGTAGACCTATCACTCAAACTACAGTAAAATGTAGACCTATCGCTCAAACTACAGTAAAATGTAGACCTATCACTCAAACTACTGTAAGATGTAGACCTATCACTCAAACTACAGTAAAATGTAGACCTATCACTCAAACTACAGTAAAATGTAGACCTAAAATGGAAGGTAGATGCAAGGGAATTTTCAGATCTCAAGAGTAAATGTGTCAGATTTTCTATTATTAAAAAAATACATTGTTAGCTTAAGATTCATTTTTGGCCACTTTGAATCATAAAAACTAAGCATTGTCAGTTAAACAGTATGAAAACCACTACTTTTTTTTTTTTGCTTAAGCAAAAAAAGGAAAGATTTTTGAAAAGTGGCAGGCTATTTTGTTTTGACTTTTCACATTGAAAACAGTTGGTTAACCAATTTAATTGTGATAGACCCTACCTTAGCCACATTTCAATTAAGACTCTATTATGTATATAAAATTTAAATGATCAGATGACATTCATAGAAGCCAAAAGGAACGTAAGATTAAAGAAAAAACAACCACAAAGCATAAATACTGATGATGGCTCGCCTTTGAGTCAAAACATGTAAACAACAGTCCCCATTAAATTCACATAATTGGAATATTCCTCTGTGTCCTACGCTCCAATGGCATTCAAAGGATAAATATGTAAGATAAAAAAAAGTGGGTAAACAATATGGACATTAGTAGATCAGGCTGTTCAAAGGTCAAGGTCATTTTAAGATGTTTGTTGATGTTGTACATCTTTGCAGCAGTGATGATTGACAGACATCATGTTATAGATTCTGGACAACCTGCCTGCTGGTGATGATGTATTTCTGTTAGTCCTTATCGATGGTTTATAATCTATAATTGATGAAGTAATGTCAATTAATGTTTCTATCAACGTACAGGCGAGACAACAGAACGGGGTGATGAGAAGGTCAGGGCTAATACCGGACCATAACAGAGGCCTGTTTTACTCTATAAAGTATACTAATGGCCGTTAAGTAGATAACAGGAAGGCAGAGGTTATGGATGAAATGTTACGGCCCATTACTCTGTATCAGTAGTAAGTTCTAAAAAACAAACCTTTGATGAACAACCTGTTTAGACAGTAAACAGCACAGGTTATTTTATGGAGGATGTTTTTATTATCTTGGTATTCAAATAAAGAATGAGAACAACCTTCTTGACTAGTTATACCTCCAGTCCCCAGCCCTCACCCAGTCAAGGGGCTATATAGAAGTCACTCATTCTGTGTGTTTGTGCGGGCCTCCATCCGTCCGTCATCTGTGGTCATTATTCAAGTTAAAATGGTCAAAGGTCACACTCAACCACTTGGTGTGGATGGGGGCTATAACTATGTGAACCCCTGCTCACTTTGTTTTTGTTGTTTTGAAAAGATATGAAAATGTTTGCAGATTAGTTAAACTTCGTCATTATAAAAATAATTTCAATGCTCTCTTGCTGTTGAAAACATCATCTGAAGTATTTTCATATTAAATGTATTGATAGACTGTCTTGGTGGCCTTCACCTTGGGATAACTTTTTAATGTAGTTATTGAATGTCTTGTTGACCTTCACCTTGTTATAGCTTTTTTAGGTCACCTAAGATTTGCTCAAGTGACCTATTCCGATCACTTTCCGTCCGTCGTTGTGCTTATTTTTTTTACATTTTCAACTTCTTCTCAAGAACCAAATGATGGAATTTTTTCAAACTTGGTCAGAATCATCCTTGGTAGATGTGGCTACAAAATTGTAAAATTGGGATTCCTACCCCAACCCCTTGGGCCATTGAAGGGCCCCAAAGGGAAAATTTACCAATATTTTAAAATTCTTATCCTTTGATGACATGACAAGTATTGTATTTCACTTTGTTTACATGCTGATTTCCACATCACATCTAAACAATGAAATAAAGCTTTTTTTTTTCTAAACAATAAAATAAAGCTACCAGTACCTATGATATAACTCAGGTAACTGCTAAGGCCTTTGGGCCTCTTGTTTAATGTAGTTATTGAATGTCTTGTTGACCTTCACCTTGGTATAGCTTTTTAATGTAGTTATTGAATGTCTTGTTGACCTTCACCTTGGTATAGCTTTTTAATGTAGTTATGGAATGTCTTGTTGACCTTCACCTTGTTATAGCTTTTTGATGTAGTTATTGAATGTCTTATTGACCTTCACCTTGGAATAACTTGAAATGTAATTATTGACTGTCTTATTGACCTTCACCTTGGGATAATTTGAAATGTAATTATGTCATTACAGCATTGTTCTGCAGATGTTTGAGTTCAGAGTCTTCAAAGCTTCCACCCACACTTCTACTGATCCTGTCAGACACCTACAAACACGCCCCACCTACACTTCTTCTGATCCTGTCGTACACCTACAAACACGCCCCACCCACACTTCTACTGATCCTGTCAGACACCTGCAAACACGCCCCCCCAACACTTCTATGATCCTGTCAGACACCTACAAACACGCCCCACCAACACTTCTATGATCCTGTCAGACACCTACAAACACGCCCCACCTACACTTCTACTGATCCTGTCAGACACCTACAAACACGCCCCACCCACACTTCTACTGATCATGTCAGTTACCTACAAACACACCCCACCTACACTTCTACTGATCCTGTCAGACACCTACAAACATGCCCCACCCACACTTCTACTGATCCTGTCAGACACCTACAAACACACCCCACCCACCCTTCTTCTGATCCTGTCAGACACCTACAAACACACCCCAGCCACACTTCTTCTGATCCTGTCAGACACCTACAAACACGCCCCACCTACACTTCTACTGATCCTGTCAGTTACCTACAAACACACCCCACCCACACTTCTTCTGATCCTGTCAGACACCTACAAACACGCCCCACCTATACTTCTACTGGTCATGTCAGTTACCTACAAACACGCCCCACCCACACTTCTACTGATCCTGTCAGACACACACAGTCAGGGTTTCAACTTGGCATTAACATAAACTCACAGTTTGGTACAAGCTTGTATTTTTCTTATAAATGTTCCCTGTCTTTAGTTTATGTGATAAACAACCTAACTAAATACTATGTAATAAGGGTAATGGGGGCACTGCTTGATGTGTTGTTAAACTATCGAAGTTCTTTATCCTGGAATTCTGTATTGTCTTAATCTTCAACATATCTATTTAATTAATTATTAATAAACTATACTTAATATTTACAGTACTAGAAAATGACAGTACTGGATTTAATAGTTTTATATGATTATACTTAATAGTTACAGTACTAACATGAAAGGACAGTACTGGATACATAACCATATCTAATAGTTATATAACATGTTATTATTAGTTACATAGCTACATAGCTATTCCGTCTTTTCGTATTGTAGTGTTGTCTACTCTTGTGAGCAGGTATTGATTGTTACGTCATTTGTTTGTGAGACTAACGTCATAAATTTTTGAGGAAACCACGTAATTCTCTCACACAAACTAACGACGTAACAATCAATACCTGCTCACAAGAGCAGATAACTCTGCAATACGAAAAGACGAAATATTTAATAAGAACAGTGCTAGGGTAACAATAACAGTGCTAATGATATGATGGTTTATATATCCTCAAGGTTAAAGCTCCTATAAGTACTAATGCTGATATTTATAGTCTCATTAGGCATAATCGATCTTCTGGAGAAAGTTGACAGAAGTATA